TGGTGTCAAATACATTAGAACTTGTATGCTAATAAATGTTAATTTTGGCAGGTTTTTCTGGTGGCTCGGTGCAGGCCAACATTGGGAACAATGTTGGACCTCAAAAGCGGTCTGCTTGTGTCGTTTTTGCGCCCCTCCCACAAACGGGGACACCCTCAACCTCGTTCCAGGTGGGGTCCAACAGCGCTCCTGCTCCTTCTGAAGCCGAGAAGGCCAAGATGGACGACTTCATAACGTCGACACCTGTGGCCTGCCCCCACTAAAAAATCCAGAAGATGTTAAATAATTGAGGTTTCGGTTAATTCAGTATTTTAAAATTTAACATTTTATCCTAGATTTTATACCTAGTCTATTCACATAAAGTGTTACTTGCCCATTACTTTTGAACCCGATAAGATAAAATTAAAAGATAAGTTGCATTTTGTACGTGAACTCAGTGGCTATCATTGATATTAACTCTTTTAACCTGACCTCATTGGGTCAAAAGTTGTAGGAGCTTAACTGCGCGCGCGCGATAATAATTTTTTACTTTTTACGAGAGAAGAAAAATTCACAATGTTTGAATTAGTGTAGCAATCCAAGTACACGTATTATTTGTTTGGCCAAACTTTTCAAATACTCCTAGAGACATTGTCTATCCATGAGCATACAAGTTCCGTTGGTCCAAGTTCATAGAGGACTCCAGTGATGTCTGACGCTTCGAGCGCCAGAATAACAGAAAATCTCTGTTGCACGCCGAAGACTTTGGCTCTACATAAGGCCTTTCAACTTCAGCGATTAGATGAGGACTGAAAAATGACCCCAGGATAAATGCCTTCTAGTGTAGTAAGCGTCACATGTTAAAGATTTTCCAAACCTAAGCACGGAGAAAAAAATAAAATTCCACCGTGTTTACAGATGAGTAGATCTTCACGGCGGAGGCTTATAAAAATAAACGAAATGGCAGATATTATGCCAAATCTGTCCAGGATTTATCTCCAAAACTAAAAAAGGTCGAATATCTCACCATCCAGGTTTAGTTATCTCTTAGGCGGAAATCGGCGGAATTTGGCAAAAATCGCTCAATTTCCTCGATTACGAAGAGGCGATTGTTTAAAAAGATATTTAGTTAACGGTTTAGTGAAGATGGAACACCCCCTCAACAAGTCCATATTGGGTGGAAAGCCGATAACCTTTGTGCACGGCTCTATAGTAGCAAATAAAGCGAAATTCGTGAAAACAAGGCTAAGGATCCACATTTCTGACTTCATTTGCAGGTCAGATTTGACCTTGGCATTTACGGGTCGCAATCCTCTTCACCACCAAATATCGATAAAAGTTGAGGAAAAAGTCTGTTCTGAGCCCCTTATTAGTGTCGGGGTCATCAAAAAATTTCTGACCCCGGAATGCAACACTTTGTCAACAAATGAAGTGCGTGCCGCGGTGGGTGCTTGGCGTTCGCGTCTTCAATTATGTGTCGCCGCAAGGGGGTCAAATTCTGAAATGTGATACATGTTTTCCATTCAAAATTTAACTGCCTTTCCAATGAAATTAAAATGAAATTAAAATTCCTAAAACTGAAAGCGTTGTCCCCGTGTATTCCAGTAACACATTACCTGAATAGACTGGGTACTAATCGTAAATTTGACGACGCCAGTTTAGTTTATTTTTGTCGTTTTAACTTCCAATCGCTTAGTGCAGATGCAGATGTATTTCAAATTTCGAAAATATGTATTCATTACAATTTAATTTCAATGTGTCATTCATTAATCGCTAAAAACTAGGAATTTTGAGCAGCTCTTATCTTGATATTTATTTTTCCGTAAATAATATTTGCATGTGTTTATAAGTCGTAGAAATTATGTACATACATATGTATTTAAAAGGGTATAATACTGAATTTAATTCCATATTTATGTATTTATAAGGATTAGTTCGTATTTTATGTTTATTTAATTTTAATTAAGTAATTGCTACATTATTTATTTATTTTAATTTTATGGAAAGTAAAGGTATCAGAGTCAGGGTTTCGTTTTCCCCGTCCAAAACTATTTTTTCCCACGGCAGGTGGGAAAAGGTGGGAAAAACCGGGAAAAATGGTATTTACCGTCCAGAACGGGAAAAATGGCGGTCCATGGAAAATTGACGAACCACGCCCACTTTGGGTGTGGTTTTTTCTAAGTGGGGTTAGAGTTAATTGTCCACATTCATATTGTAGTCAATGCGATTGTCGACCTACCATAAAAATTTGAGCCAAATCCGACCATAAACAAAAATGTTATGAGCCCGGGAACCTTGGCGACAGGCAAAAAACGCCGACTTTAGGGGGGTGGTTCTATGAATGGGGCAGATACAAAACTCTGAAACAGGCTGCGAATGGCAGTCCTAGGTGAGATGTACTTGTTCCAGAAAAGCGGAGGTCTTGAATGTGCCCCTTCGCAAGATATTAGCCCGGGAACATTGAAAATAATCATGTCGAAATTGTCCAAAACGGGTGAAATTCATCATGTCGTAGAGCAGCGAAAATCGATATCTAGCTTCAGCCAGGCATGAAAAGTCTGTCGCAAGTAAAATTAACCCATGTCGTAAGGGAACGATGTCGACATGTCGAAATTTCGACGTGGAGCTAGTGAGCTGAAGTTCAAAACTAATACTTCTCAGCCCTGGACTGCACGCGTTTGAGGAAACTGAGCCTCCTGGGGAAGAGGGAGGATGAAATTGAAGGCCGGGAAATTCCCGACATCATCTTGACGAAGATAATTATCCCCACTGCAACAAAGTTCTCAACCTCAGCCTACTTCCCCCCTCACTCTGGAAAACTTGAGGCTCCAATCGGCTCAAAGTTGAGGCCATCACGAAAGTTGGGAAGAGGCCATCACGGAGACCCGGCTTTATGTGACTAAATCACCTCTGTAATACTTTGTCAGTGAAGGATAACATCTATAATGGAGCTAGAATCTCAAATTTATGGAGACAAAAAAACTCACGTGGTTGTGAATATCAATATTAGATGTAATCCATCATTGATAAATTGTCACTATAGTGTTACCCCAAGGCAAAGTATATACATATGTGACATGCATACATACACTGGTAACAATTTGGTAATAAACATTACCGAAAAGCACAGGTATGTGACTCTACCAAAGTTGTAAGGGTAAGTTCTACCGTGTGGTAATGGCTTGGTAATAAAGTTTTACCATCGTTCTAACGAATTGGTACCACTTGTTAAGTATTATTGATTACCGAGAAACCATTACCTGTGTGACTTAACGGGATTATTAAGAGTGTAGATATATATGTTTCCCCATTATCTTGAGTGCACGTAATTAATGCATGTCCAAAACAATCTGTGTCCCAATTTAATTTCTCCAACACCCTGGGGTGCCCATTTAAATGGGGTTTCCAAATAATTTTGTGCCTTTCTACCCATGGTAAGTTGTATTCTGTTTTAATTTCTTCTGTCGAAGGACGATAGTGTCACTTATAGTGCGACTCACATTATTAGTGTGTTATGGTAAGTACAATGCGATGTAAAGATAAAATAGATAAGCCATGGCATTCTATTTAGCTATCAAGTGTGAGTATGCTGGGCATATTCACATAATTACGACGTAGAAATCATAATACAAGTGCAGCATGTTATACAAATAGATAACAGTCCTGGGTTACACAAACACTCATTACGTGGATGTTTTTGAAAATATTCATATCCGTGTTGGAGTGTGTATCAAATCGTTATGTTGCATTTTAAACAAGTGAGCGCATTATTAACAACCTTTCGTATTATAAATCACTCATTGAATTATTAATTTCGTTTTGTTTACAAAACTCCGAATCAAATAGTATAGTTAACGTTTTACCAACCTGTATTAGATACCTGTGTTAGATTAGATAACGTATATGAGTTATTAGATACACACCTTGCACCTAACGTGTGCGTTACGTGCCTAATTTAATAATATGTCAATAGCGATACCTAAGTTCCATGTTTCGATCGTGGAAAAATTAATAGCGAAAATGCAATTATTTTTCAAAATTCTATCAATTAGAAAATTGGGGTCCGTAATCGAGGCAGTGGCCAAATTCTGCTCCTAAATTATTTTCTAAATTATTTCCAGCCATATTTAACTCAATTTTGACGATTTTATGACAAAAGTCAAATTTATCAAAATTCGCAAAAAATTCGCACATTTTGGCTCGTAGCGCAAAAACCATCAATGCACTCCCCAATATTATTACGGGTTCTTTATGTACACAAAATTACGCAAATTTTAAGCCATCCAACTTCAAAATCGTTAGAGCGCGAAAAAATCACAATTAGATGGTGTATATAGGTACTAAAGATATTGGGGTATTTTTAAAAAAAATTTGATATAAAATTTGTTTTCTAAAGAAATTTAAATCTTTGACATTTCTTTCGTACCTTTTATTAAGTAGCGCAAGCTACTTTATGCGATCGGTTAGTAAGTCTGTCTGTCCGTCCGTCTGTCCGTCTGTCGGTCCGTCCGTCTGTCAACACTAAAACTCGAGAACGGTTTGTCGCAGCGACCTGAAATTTTTAACACATGTTCATCACGGGGGTGGGGTGACACCCTATTAAGGGGGTGTGGCCACTTTGTCGACATCATGTCGAAAAACGTCGCCATGGCTTAATCTCGGCATTTTTTGGGCGAAATGCCTGAAATTTGAGCAAAACATGTTTTTTGATGTTGTCGAAATGTCGCAATATGGCGATTAAGGTTTCGAAACTTTTTTCGACATGCTTTGTCGCCATGTCCCAATTTCTGCATTTTTTGGGCGATTTGCATGAAATTTGGGCAAAACATGTTTCTCGGTGTTGTCGACATGTCGCAGTATAGAGCATGAGGTCAATTAAATTAAATTATTTAATTAATTAATTAACTAATTAATTAATTAATTGAGCTTTATAGCGCAAATTAATTCTCAGCATTCTCAGCATTATTGCGCTACTTATGTATCGTGCTTTGCCGCACTTTTTTCTAATTAAATTTAAAAACTTATAATCATGAATTATTCCAAATCTGATGATGATGATGAAAAATGTGCTCATGCTAATATTAGTAGGAAGGAGTGGGAGGAAAACTCACTGACATAGTAGTAGGGTCCAAATTTGACGTAGTAGTAGGGTCCCGACCGCCACGCTACATGTGGTTGTGACGATCTTCCTTCCTCCCATCCTCACACTCACATTGGCAAATCCAGTGAGAAGTAACCCCAAAATTTATACCGCCCTGAACAAGAACCTGGTGATCGCTAATTGATAATTTCGTAAGTATTGCTTGCAGTGAATGGTTGCGTGGCCTTACTACGCAATTGCGGTTGAGCTTAGACCACAAACACGGTTTTGAACCTTAAATTTATCGCCGATTAGTGTTTAGAACCAAATTTTTTGATATTTAAGATAACAATGTGCGTGCAAAATTTCGTATTCTACTCCATATTCATAGGATTTAAAAGGGCACAACAACTGTCAAAATAGTGCGAGATTATCATGATTACACTCTAAAAATCCTCAACATTTCATGGGGAGAATCCAGAAATATTTCTTGATTCCGCCGATATCATTATCGTATTCCAAGAATGTAAAAATAATGCTGACGTTTCACAGGTTATTCCAACCCAACAATCAAAATATTTGCGATAGGAGTTCAGCTTACGTAATATTACGTAAAAGATTGATTAATGAGAGCAGATAGAGCTACGTCCCTATCTCTGGATTTGTGATAATCCTTTACTAAATCCTCACTTTAACATTCCCATCCCAGCAGAACAGAAATTTACCTTGATTGTCCAAAGTTATCACACAATAAATATTTCAACGTTCCGATAAAGATTAACGAAATATCCCATGGGTCGAGGGTCTCTGCGTAAATTTGGTCGTACAATATTCCCAAAAGTTTTACCTTTTGCCATCCATCAATTACAAAGAAATTCCTCGTATCCCTCTTCAGTTCGTTACGTGATGTATGGGCATTCCACCATAAATTCACCATTAGTCAGTATCGAGTCACTGAGCTGTTTCTGATTAATCATTATAATCAAGCAAATGTGAGAAAATAAATCTGCTAACTGACATTTCACACACGTTATACTGCGTAGTTACCTTTTCCAGGTCCTCCGATCCGGTCGATTAGAGGAGAGAATCGCGTACAAAAATAATTTCTAGGTTTAATTATCCTTCGCAACAACTATGTTACCAATAGTTGGACTAACTGTGGGCTTTATTTCCACATTAATCGGGCTCACCACTAGTGCCATGTACGATGGGCACAGCATGCTTAGAGTCACACCACAGACCAAGCGACAAGAAGATCATTTAAGGGACCTGGGTAAACACCAAGGGGTATGGGCACTCTAAATAATTTGGTAATAACACTATTACCATGCGGAGACAGTATAAATAAGTGCCTTCGTAACGGCATAGAGTCATCGCCTTGTAATTGTCTTATTACCGGAATATTTACATACAATGAAGAACGTATCTATACAAAAATGGTGTCAAATTTTCCAAAAGACTAAACATTACCTGCTTTTCTATGTGTCCATAATCAATTTTCTTTTGTTTTGACCTTTTAGAATATAACGAAAGTAATAATTTCAAATCAAAATAATTATTAATCAATTATGTTCTATTGTTACTTTTAAGGTATCATTTATTGGAGGTGATCCTCTTGTTGGGGATCATTCCCATGTAATTGCGTCCCCACAAGTGTTGGATTTTGTGTTGGAATCTTTGAAAAAATTCGAAACTGAGCATCTTCTAACTAATCCCGATGTAGGAAGGTAAGGCCGCTTTTAAAATGGGATTCATTTTCCAATATTATTTTCTAATTTTTCTAATTTCTAATTTCACTTTCTAATATTTCTAATCATCATTTTCAAATTCGAGAAAATTGTTTGAGATTTCCCCGGATTTTTTCCTCATTTTTATTCCCCCGCAACCCTCGTCTTAAATTTCCTACATTCCCTGGAAATCCATATCTTCGAAATACTCTCAAGTTTTCTGCAACCAATCCATATTATTTTTTCAAATAATTTATTGAAGGCAGACAAATTTGTGTACCTAACCAAATCGTACAATTTTATCAAGAACAATAATTCATCTGCCTCATAAATACTTTTAAAAAATAGGTCAATCCGTTCTCAAAAGTTCAGGACCAGAATGAATGGAGATATCAGTTGGGACGCATACTACGATTTGGACTCGGTTAACAAACTTACCTATTATTATTCAAATCTCACCAACTGATTTTCCCGCTAATTCCATTTTTAAATAGATCAACCAATACCTGACCGTTCAAAGTGTCGGACATCCTGACCTCGTGACCCTCACAACGATTGGAAAATCGTTCGAGGGAAGGGACTTACTTCTCTTCAAAATTAACAAGGGCAGCACCACGAAACCAATTATATGGATTGATTCTAATATTGTGAGAATATTAATACCGCCATTTTTAAGCTACTTATTTCTTCAAATGGAATCTTATTTTAGCATGCGCGAGAATGGATTTCATCCGCGGTCGGGCTCTATTTGATCGATCAACTCCTGAATAGCCCAGATATTGAGATTCAAGCTTACTTGGACGATTTTAATTTTCACGTTTTACCCATGGCTAACCCGGACGGATTCGTTTTCTCTCATTTAACCGTATAAATTCAAATGAATGTCAAGGGAGACCTATTTAGTTTTTTTAGTTAAAGCGCATAATCTCTACAAATGGACTAATCTCGCAAACGCAATTTCCGACTTGCATACTATCAAGTTACATTTCACATTACTTAACTCGCTCAATCTTGATTGGTTCAAACAAATTTACTGCAAATTAGTTCAATTTTATGCGCTTAAAACAAAAAATACTGGATTCCCCCCACCCACCTATTTGCTAACCATGTACTGCATTGGCCGCGGATGGCGACCTTTGTTCATGTCCCGAACTATCCACGTCATACCCTAAAATACTAAAGCCCTCCCCCCCCCGACCTTTTACGGCCACAGTTCACAACAAATATCTAATTCCATTCTTATTCCTGAGTAGGACAGATTTTGGAGGAAGACGCGATCAAACACTTCCGCAACGGCAATAAATGGATGCCGTGGCGTAGATCCGAATAGAAATTTCGACGCCTACTGGTTAGGTAAGGTTCAACAAAGACCTTGTTTTTCTTACCCCTCACGAGTTTCCTCCATATTTTCCTCTCCAAATTTTTTAATTAGTACCGACAAGAAGGTCACAATGTAGTAGACATAGTATAAAATAGTATAAAAAAACTTGGAAATTTTAGTAGTTTTCAAAATTTCAATCTTTCCACTTATAATTAACCGATTCGCAGGTTATTGCTTTTGAGCAAGTGTCCATTTTATGAGGGCCAACTCTCTCTATAACTTAAAGGCCAATCAGTATCTATTTTTCCATTTTTCAGAAAACGATGGGGGTTCTAAAGACCCCTGCGACCTTTATTTCGCTGGAGACGCCGTTTTCACAGAGTTCGAATGCATCGCAATTGCGCAGTATTTAGACTCCATCCGTGCCAACCTTATTGCTTACATAAGTCTGCACAGCTGGGGGCAAAACGTTTTAATTCCGACGGGACGAGATTCTACGCAAATACCGGAATATAATGAATAGGTACGTGCGTATTGTAAATTGTCTAACTCAAAATTTTACCCTATTCGATAGATTTAAAGTCAAAATCACCCTCTACAAATTTATATAAACTGCTCCTTCCGTTACCTAATTTACGGACAGACGTCAACAAAAATTTTACCCAATTCCGCCACAACAAATACCAACGAACGTAAATATTTTATTAATCTAGATTAGAATAGCAAACTTGGCCGCGGCAGCCCATCAAATTCCACATGGCATGGTTTACACGACCGGAAGTGTGTTCGATGTTTGGCGTATGTTTTTACAATCATTTCGTCCAGTAAATTTCACGATTTATAATTGTCTTTGAATATTTGTTTCTAGACCCGGCCCCAGGGACCAGTATGGATTGGGCGTACTTGAATTTCCCATCCGCCAAGATACATCTGACCTATGAATTCAGGGACAAAGGTCAATACACCGTCCTTTTACCCGCGGATCAAATTTTGCCGCAATGTGAAGAATTCATGGCAGGGATCAAGGTCATTTTCGACGAGCTTGAATTTATGTAAAAATTCATGAAATAAATTATTACTACTTGAGCCAAGCGGTAATAAAGTATTGACTTAAACTAGCTATTATGTATTTACGTATAATTAACTAATTTCGCTTCAAATTTTTTTTACTACATTGAATAATTTATAGTAGTGCCGTTTAAACGAGCGGTTAGATCGCATACGAGGGTAAAGCTAATGAGAACAATATAAGAAATTATATTTCCTATGAAATTAAGGTTAGCAGAGAACAATTTTTGACCCGGGGTAATTTTACTTAACATGTTTATGTTCGTAAGTAACAAAGTGAATGCCTTTAAGTGTGAGTTGTAAATTCACGTTGGCTAAATGATTGTGTATGTGTATGTGCAACTTGAATTAATGGGCACCAGTTTCCTAGCATAAAGCCCTATGGTTGCTTGTATAAATGATTTCGTAGTTAACTTCAATTGGTTAATTTTGTATTTAATTAATAACGAAGTATTTATTTACAGTTATTGGCAATTTACATACACATATTTTATGCATGTAACATTTATTAATTGAGGTACTTTAGATTTGATTAGTTGGAGGCAAATTGATACATACTTATTTGCAATCTCACTTCCTTCTTAATTGAGGTAAGTTGAGAATTGCGATATACGCTTGTGCATAAAAGCGTTTGCTTTAGCAAGTGAAATTCTCGACCTTGTTTGGTGGTGGACCGTGGCTGCTTTTATCCGATAGGTCGGACGCGAAAGCGCGCGGCCTACGTGACAAAACTCGGCGCTATTTTTAGCTTTCTCGGAATTGTGACCGTAGAAAGCAATGTACATACATGCGAGGTTTTGCAGGAGCGTTACTTCTCCATGCATTTATGAAGCAGTCAAGTCGTCCACTGCTGCGTCGGGTACTATGTGCAGTTAGTTAGTGCTCGGACCGTTTCGTTCCGTTTCGGATTTCGAAGGAAACGGAAACGAAACGGAAACGAGAATTTGGAAACGGAAACGAAACGGAAAAATTATTTTGGAAACGGAAACGATCCGAAACGAAACGGAAACGAAACGGAAACGAAACGAGAAACGGTTGAAACTACAAATATTGTTTTCACCAAAATTGATTTAAGATTGTCAAAGCGATTTATTCGTGGATTTCATCGAAACATGTTTTTTAGTTGTTTTGCCTGAAAATACTTCCTGCATTAAAAAAACCATGCAAGTAGCTTTCAATTTTTGAAATTTTTTAAGTGCTCCTTAATTCAATAATACATATTATTCAGTTGTCGTAAAGTCGAAAATGTAATGTATATGAAATTGACATCGCCATTTGGGGTCATCATAAATTGTGTCCTACGTATGTAGGCATGTTTCATAAACTTGTGTACACTCTTAACAAAATTGTTACCAGATCATTACCAAGCTGTACAAGAATATGACTCTACCAGAATGGTAAAGAATTATTACCATTCTGGTAATAAATAATTGCGTTACCAGAGCAGTAATAATTTATTACGCCACGGTAAAAATTCATGTTATGGCGGTAAAAATCTTTGTTACCAAATTATTGAAAACCATTACTCCGCGGTAATAAATCTTTACCAAATAAGTAATAACATATATTACCAACACGTGGAGTCGTGTCTTTACCAAACAGTAATAAACCTAGTAACTACCACTGCGGAACAACTCTGTTTACCAGGGGCTTGGTAAAGATCGTTATTGAAATTTTATTACCAGTTTGGTAAGAGTGTAGTACACATTTATTCTAGGCCTGTGCCTTACGTAGAGTTCAGGCATGGACAAAATACAGTATTTTGCATTTAATTAAAAATAAATTTGGAGAGTATTGCAAAATACAAATGTATTTTGAAGAACCTGATGTATTTTTATTTTCCACTATTGTTGAAATATTGTCGAGTCAAAATACAAAACACTTCGCAATTTGTAGCTGCTCGCCAAAACTTTAATTTTCCGAATAAAATTAAAAGTTGAATTTGTTTGTAGCAATATTCATTCATAACGCTACTTGGATTCAATTAATATCTAATATTTTTGAACAGTATTTTATCTCTTCAAAAGTATTTCGTATTATCAGAACGATTATGTTGTCGATAATTATTAGGCAGATAGTGCAACCATGGACATATACCTTATATCTTAAAATTATGACGTACGAATTAATTTATAAGTTATAAGTCATAGAAAGCCCATAAGGGGACTTATACTTATGATTATAGGTCAAGTTATACGTCATAAGGCATAAGTTTTGCATCCATGGTTACAGTATCTATCTATTAAAGTCTTACGCACATCATTAAATAAGGATTTACAATTAATGTGTAATTTAAAAATTTGCATTTTTCCTGTATAAAGGTGTAAGCATTTAGAAGCAATTTGAAAGGTGTAAGATTTTGCTGATTCCAATTTTCATAAATTTTTTGAAGTATTTTACATTATTATGCATAATAAGACCATAATGAATCCAAAAATTGTTAAAAAAATTAATTCTAGAATTACACATACAAACTTTTACAGCAAATTCTACAATTTTCATTTTAACCGTTTCCCGTTTCGTTTCCGTTTCGTTTCCGTTTCGTTTCCATCGCTGATCCGAAACGAAACGGAAACGAAACGGTCCAAGGCGTTTCCAAAATTTTGGAAACGAAACTGGAAACGAAACGGAAACGCGTTTCGTTTCCGTTTCTAATCCGAAACAGTCCGAGCACTACAGTTAGTTGGATGCGAGTGAGAGCTTGTTTCTTTCTGTCCCAACATCCATCCCTGCACATATGCATAATTCATAATTGCATGCAACTCAATTTTGCACCCATCTTAACACATTGTAAATATTGTTGTGCTGCATCCAGCGACCTATGTACATTATTATGTTTCCAAACATAACATGTGATTAGATAATGAAGGTGTCACGCCGTTTCTGGATATAAAATTAACAATGGAGGTCTCCCAACGTATGCACACAGATTTGGACAAAACTGGGGTCAATCAATCACAAATATGAGTAGTATGAAATTTTGCAAATGGAACTATCTGCAAATTCTTAACTTTGGCGAAGATATTTGTATGGAAAGAGGAGAAAAGCACCCCCGAGGCTGGCAAATTTTTCATTTTCCAAATTTCCTGTGCATTTTTCCCGCCTTTTATGCAAATATCGCCACCAAACCTGCAGATAGCTCCATTTGCAAAATTTCATACTAATTATGTTTGTGGTCGTTTGACCCCAGTTTTGTCAAAATCTGTGAGCATACGTTGGGAGACCTCCATTGTACGTAATTCTCATTCAAATTTAATAATTTTTTATGCGATGTGCATCAGCCGATTAGCTTTACATTTTTGCCCCATAGGGATCCAAAAATTCCTTTCCCCAAGTTTATTTATTAGGTTCGTGAGGGAAGCTCAACTTTGAACCGTTGTTTAGTTTCTTGATGAAATTCATCTATTTTGACTCGGTAGAAGTGCGTCACAATTTTAAAATGGTTGCAAGATTTCAGTAAAATCGGATTATTTTTCGCAAATGGGGTAACCCCTTTATGATACAACTCTTTAACTAACTCTGAGGAGTAAAATTCGTCTAAATGCTGGCAATGCAAGTTTTTTAGGTAAAACCTTTTCATGCAATTTTTTCTAGATATCATGTAGGCAGAAATACTCAGTTGCATATGTTGCGTTCATAATTTTTACAACGTTCGGCAGAACAACTGTCCCCATACTTTGCTAAAATTAAATATAAAATTAATAAACTAATAAGCAATTGGAAATTTAAAATTCAGAATCAACTTAATTAAATAATTAACCAGACGATGTATGTATGTATGTATGTATTTGGTGGGGTGATGATCCTGCCATTAATTGGGCAGGACCAATCAGCTGCGTAAGCACTTATGGCTTATTGCAGTCTCCCCAATTACACGGCACCAGACGATGATACTTTGGACAAATTCCCAAAGTATGCAATGAACAGGGATGTGCAGGCGTAGTACATATTTGTATATATCTACAAATGTTACTTGGTTATGTGTACATGCTTACTCCAAATTTTGCATCCATTTGAGTATGCGAGATATTCGCTGCAAAATTTTTTCAAGATCCCGCCTTCCGCTTTAATTAGAGCAAAAAATACGTTTTCGCACATTTTTGATGGTGAAAAAGTTAGTCCAATCAAGATCTGAATATTACATTAGAAAAACTAGCATTATTATTCTACCGACAATTCAAGGAATACGTAAATGTCTATAAAATTGGTTACAATTGTTGTGTTCATAGATATTTATTGAAATAATTAAATACTTTGATATAGGTCAATGTACAGTTGCGTCCCATTCCTAATTCCCTTGCCTAGTTCACACCAATAACTTGATCATCTTCCACGTAAAAACTGCCATCCTCCATTTCATAAATTTCGACTTGGTCCCGATTGTTGACGTCAAACTCACGTAAAACTGCCCTGGATCTACGATCCCTAACGACAACTGATTTAGTAAAGTAGACTGAACTCTTAATCGTTTGCGTGACAATGGTTGGGTTGGGTTTTCCTAGTGCGCGAAGCACGCTGGTTACCGGAATTCCCCAGAAATGATGATTCTTGTACTTTGGATTGTAATTTGTTGCCACGTAACCCTCCAACCTGGCGTTGTATCTCATCCTAGCCTCACCTTCACCTATCTTTGAGACAATCTCGACAGTAACGGAGCTCTTTGGTTTTAAGATTAGTGTAACTTCCGTACTGGATCCCACAGTTGAGGATTGAGTTTTCTTGTTGGAGTACCCAATCCTGGTGTTGAGGGTCAAAGTGGCTGACCCTTTTATGAAGAGGACGTCAATGTCGAAATTATGACTCGCTCCTAGTGCAACTTCTCCACTCCAAGTGGTTTCCACCGAGTCCAAAATGGCGTGCGACAAGGTCTCCCTGATCGTCACGTTTAGCTCGCTCTCGTTCGTGTAGTCGTTTGTAGCTATGACGCTCGTGGTCTCCCGCTCTGTTAACGAGGACCCAAGTTGCCCCGTCATCCGGGAGGTCACTTGTTGCCATCCATAGGTGCTGTAGAGGTCATTCCAAGGGGTGCGGCTTTTGACGAAGGCGTCATTCGGGGTCTTACCGAAATCGATTCGTACTCCGTTCTTCAAATCGGACTCGTTAGGGATACCAAATTGTCTTCTGAGTTCAGGGGTAATGACCTGAAAATATTACCATGCTCATAACATAGTTGGAAAAACCAGTTTGATATGAAGAGTGACAAAGCATACCAGTTGATGACTCCCACTGATGGTAGACGACGTGGGGGAAATTCTAACCGCAAAATTACCCCGACACGTTGAAGTCAAGGATGCGAGACAGAACGCAGAGAGGAAGAGGTTTATAGTAAAACCGTTCATTCTTTCACAATTTTGGTTTAAAATTTGTTAGGGTTGCTGTAATATTCTGTGGGCAGCTTGTTAAAGTTTGATACAAATTCCATGAATCGCAGTTGCTTTTATATCAGGATTTATCAACAGGGCGGAAATATATGCACCTATGTATCATAAATATTGGGCAAAACAACGACTTAGAAAAGAGCACACATACAAACCTCCCCATGTTACCAACCTTGGTCAACAAAATTATTCGATAAGCTCTAATCAAGCTGTATTTTTATATACCCGTAATCCACCCGATAAATAAGCTTCCGTGTAGTCCAAGCACAAATAATTATTTCATAAACAAGTTCACTCAACTTTACTTTTCGTATAATATTTACGCTAGTAATCTAACTCGTAATAGTGCCAATCATCTGTTTTCATTATTTTGAAAAGTCAGGACAAACAAAACATTCAAGAAACGTGATTGACGAAATTTTATCTTTACTTTCAGTAAATAACTTTTCTACGAAGAGTAAAGTTGAGTGAACTTGTTTATGAAATAATTATTTGTGCTTTGACTACACGGAAGCTTATTTATCGGGTGGATTACGGGTATATAAAAATAAAGCTTGATAAGAGCTTATCAAATAATTTTGTTGACCAAGGTTGGTAGCATGGGAAGGTTTGTGTAAGTGCTTTCTTCTATCTAGTTTTGCCCACTATTTATGAGCAAAGGGCGGATATGTATGTACATAAATTCCTCAAAATATGTATGTAATATGTGCTTAAAAAACTCGAAAATATGCACCTAAAAAATGTTTCTAAATCATAATTTCTACTACATTTATATCTTATCTTAGAGAAGATTCAGCTTTTTAAAACTACGACAAGGTATTATTTCAGCATTAAGTTCTAATCTTCATTGAATGACTCAAAATGCGACACTAGTTCCATTTCGAGTAATTTTTTGGCCTGGTAAAGTTATACAATCAAGCAAACTGAATTCGCATGTTCGCACAAATTGACTCGTTCGCACGAATTGAGCACCTTTATCATGAAAATATAATTTTGAAAACATCTTGAATTACAAATTGCTATACAAAAAAACCCTCGAAATATGTATCAAAATATTTATATTTTAAAAAAAACCTTGAAATATGTACAAAAATATTTATATTTACGAAAAACCTTAAAATATGTATGAAAATATGTATATGTACGAAAACCATGAGATCTGTAAAATATTGAAAACTATGCTTGAATTTTTGAAATCAGCTTATGTGGGACGTTAATGTACGGAGTTTTAGTACGATCGGGTTTGTTATGAAAAAATTAGAAATACATACATATCCGCCGTCAGTTTATGAGAGTTGCATAAATTTTGACTATGTTGAGTGATACTGATATAAATGCTACTGCGACCGGATATAAAAGCAACTGCTATTCATTTAATTTGTATCAAACTTTAACAAGCTGCCCACAGAATATTACAGCAACCCTAAAAAATTTTAAACCAAAACGGTGAAAGAACGAACGGTTTTATTATAAACCTCTTCCTCTCTGCGTTCTGGCTCGCATCCTTGACTTCAACGTGTCGGGGTAATTTTGCAATGGAGGATGGCAGTTTTTATGTGGAAGATGATCAAATTATTGATATGAAGTAGGCAAGGGAATTATGAAGGAACGCAACTTACATCTACATGTATCAAAGTATTTAATTATTTCAATATACAATTTTGAGCAAATCAATTTTATAGATATTTGCGTATTAATTTGATTGTTAGTGGACTGATAATGTTTTTTTAATTCTCGCATATACGCGCAGGGCGGGATTTTCAAACATTTTTGCTGCAAAAATCTCGAATATTCATATTTTCCGAACATTCATATATTCTCGAACATTTTTGAATTTTAACAATTCTAAAAAATACAAACATGTATGCTGAGAATTAGTACAATTATAATATACAAATCCCGTTTCAAGAATTTTCGAAAATTCGTTTTTTGGAGATCTCTTTATATTTAGAAATTTAAAAAATGGCTACAAATGGCTAATTTTCAAAATTAGTGTAGCTTGAATTTTTAAATTATAAAGAACTAGCCCAGAAGCCCGTCTTAAAGACGGGCCGATTTTAAAATTGCCAACCACCATCTGAAAATTATGAAATTATTGCAGTATATAATAGCTCAGTATATCTTTCCTAACTTTGCTCTATAATCATATATTGCCAACGAATTTTTTAACGTTGCTAAGGAGTTTTTTAACGTTTCTAAGGAATTTTTTTAACGTTGCTAAGGAATTTTTTTAACGTTTCTAAGGAATTTTTAGCCCGAGTCAGGGCTTATGTAATCATCATTTCTGTCTGTCTGTCTGTCTGTCTGTCTGACTAACGATTACTCAAGAATGAGTTGACCGATTTGGATGAAATTTGGCAGAAACATGTATCTCGGCAATGCAACGACCGAGTTCGAACATGGGTTCGATCAAAAAAGATTTGGACCAGTGGGGGTCATATTAGTGGTGTAGATTTTTAAAACCAAAGGGGGGACCCTTTGGTTTTTGGCGTTTGGTGCAGAATATTAGAAATATCTTAAAAGGCTAAAATTCGGTCTTAATGGAATTGGGATGACCAGGTGGGGGACCCATACCGATTTTCAAATTTTATCCTAAAAGGATGAAATTTGGCATACGAACACCAATGGTGGCAAAAACCCGGAAAATTAAAAATTGTCAAATGATGGGACCTCTTGGATGACCCCGAATGATTTTTTAATATTGTCTAGAAGATTTGTTTGCCGAATGAGTTTCGGTGTCGGAACAGGAGGTGTATTTTCAACTCGTGGGTTTGCGACTTTGAGCCGGATTGTGAGTTTTACTTACTTGTTATAGAGATTTCAAAGTTTTATTTATGGTTATGTAAAATACATCGTATCATGAAGTATAATCCGAAACTAACTCGGGCTAAATTAGGCTGCACTGGAGGTTTTATAATGTTGCTAAGGAATTTTTTTAACGTTGCTAACGAATTTTTTTAACGTTGCTAACCTTAATCATAACCATAACCATAACCATAATCATAACCATAATCTTAACCATAATCATAACCATAACCATAATCATAACCATAACCATAATCATAACCATAATCATAACCATAACCATAACCATAATCATAATCGAAAATCGACTGGTGCTCTGATTGGCGGATACAGAAACCCAGCAGCCAATCAGAACGCAGGAATGTCACGGAAAATTTCACGGGACGGACTTTTCGAAATTATAATATAGATGCAATTCTAAGCGTGCATATTTTTGATTTTTTTAGTTCGCGCCGAAATTAAAAAAAGTGCGGATGCGGGTAGTTGGGCTGCGGGTAGCGGGTCGGGTAATAGATAGCATTTTTGCTACCCACGGCAGCTCAATTAGCTAGTATTATCATAAATTAGTTATTAGCTCGCCCTACGTAGCATGAGAGCTCCTCTTATCCGTCTGTCCGTCTGTCTGTCTGTGTGTTTACGATTTTTTTTGCATCAATTGATGCCAATTAAAAATCCCGTTGACCAGTATTGAATATCTTTTAGTCGCACCATTGGTACGAATCTGAGATTTTCAAAAAACTCAGATTCTCAAAATCTCTCACAAATATTTTAAAATTGATACATTTCAGATTCGAATAAAAATTAACCATGACGGAAAGTATTTATTATAAATTGGTGTCATCCCTGGATAGTGTAATATCAAATAAACGTAGAAGAATGTACGTATTCATCACCTGCACGAAATCCGGTGTTAAAATTAAACTTATTAAGGAAACAACATTATTTCCGTTACCTCCGATAATTATCAATGAAATGTTGGGCAAGCATTTCATTCATAAATTGAAAGACAGGATGCAATTTCAACTTTATGGCCTTTAACAACAATGACAAATCTGAATAAAAAATATCTGAACATTCAAATGTCCTTTTGATATTGTGGTTTGAGTCAGTCAGACGAATTATTCCGAGATTATAACACCAGCACTATGAAGCTGTTCACTATAAAATTGGTAGTCCTAACTTTACTAACAGTAACCGTCCCTACCACAGGATCGGAAACGTCGGAATTTTTGAAGCTAATCAGACATCAAAGAGATGCCGTATGCACAAGATACGTGGGTCAATTTTTATTAATGCATCTAACTTGTATGTCTCTCGTTCTAGGAAAATTGCGCACAAGAGGGGACTCCTTGCAACGAAATTTTGATGACTGGCCCAATTGAAAAATGCTGCAAGGGATCATGTGAAGGTGGAGTTTGTGTAAGCATAGATTTTGTAAGAGATCAGGTTTCGCCTTCGCAAGATATTTAAATTTTCGTTCTTGTGAAATATGAAGGTCGACACTTGCAAAAATGTGGACGAAAACTGTGATAAGGATGACCAATGTTGCTCCAATTCTTGTGCGGGGAATAAATGCGTAATTTAAAACGTTTGATTTCAAAGTCAAGATTGATAATCTTAACCGCGTAGTCCTACTAAATAATGTTATTGTGCAGATCTGTACTCCGGGTGGGCTGGGATGCTGGGACGATGGCAGCTGCTGTTCAAAAATCTGTTCCGAGGAAACCTATGTATCTACATAATTTAAGTTAATGCATTCTTAAACATGTCTAGTTGGTTATTTTTTCTCTTGTATTAATTCCCAGAGCTGTTTTGGTGTTGGTCAAGAGTGCAAATCCACGGTTGATTGTTGTTCTCGTACATGCACGGATGGAAAATGCGTACAATTTTGTTACGATTTTCAAAAATTACGGTTTTTCATACGGTTCTGCATCTTTGCATATTTAGAGCTGTCGAGCTATTGATGATAATTGTGGGGCTAATGCAGAGTGCTGCTCGCAATATTGTAGTGGTGGAAAATGCGTGAGGAGAGAATTTAATTTAACCGTGTCTGGGACAGTGAATTTCTAGAAAATGGTTTTTATCCCTCATTTTTGGAGAGAATGGAAAATGGATCCGTCATCATTTTCCATTCTCTCCAAAAATGAGCCCTAAACAACATTTTTAAGAAGTACTTTTTGTGCCTGCGTCCCAGGCAGCCTAACCTTCGTTTTTGTGTCATTCTTTAAAATATTCTCCTT